GTGCCCTGGTGTGAGCTACATCTATATGCACAGAAGAAGTTATCTTTTTTTTGTTAGTTGCACAAAGTTATGGATGAGACATAGCTGTGTATAGCTATCTTATTTCCTCCATTCATTCTCTTTCTCTCTCTGAAACACTCAATAAAAGTAGTGTGCCCTGTGTGCTCTATGTCAATGGAGGTAACTTGTCGAGAGCCTAAAATGACTGAATGAGCTTCATAGGCATCAGTGGAGATTCCTGACTGCAAAATGGCTGGGAGAGAAGGAAAGAGGAACGAAAAATAATGCTTATTGAGCTCTTACTATGTCCCATGAATAATATTTTCATGGATTTTCTCTTACTAAATTTGATGCAAAATAAGAAAAGGGGGTGGGTATGTTACTAAACAGACAGGTAGAACCCCAGTACACCTGAGGTCAGCTGAGGAAGGTGGACACTGGACATCCAAAGGCAAAATGTTCAGGAGGCTAGGTCGTCTATGGGGGGCCTTGCTGGGAAGGTATAGCCTAGATGAGCAGAAAGGGAAAAGCCTGAAAACCCCTGTTCTGTGGCCACAGAAAGGGGATAACCTTGACTTTATATAGTGACCAAGACAATGAGGCATCTGGTCCCTATATAGTAACAGTTTGTTTCCTTGCAGACCTGAGTGATAGACAGCAAAAAGGCTAATGTCTACTAATTAAAGACATGCATCTTGCTGTCACAAGAGTGAACAGACACAGGTTGTACTTGAAGCCCCTGGAATAGACATTCTCTAGCCTGACCACAAAACTCAAACACTGTTGGATTGGGTACCTGCATGCAAACATGTGTCTTTAGAATATCAGAAATAATAATTAAGAAAAGATAGATGTGTGGAATGAGCTCCTTAATTATTTGATTCTGAGAGTCAAAGAGGTATTTGAGGAAAGCACATAATGGTGCTATCATTACCACTACCTGAGCAGGTAGCACCCTAGAGCCCTCACTATGCAACAGGTGCTGTGATGATGTCCAGCAACAAACCTTGAAGCAGCTGCTCTTATTCTCTCTTTACAAGTAAGAGGTTAAGTAACTTCCCCAGGTCATCCAGCAAGGCAGCGATGGAGCCTGAATTCAAACTCGGGCTTGACTCCAGAGCCCATGCTAGACAAAACTGTACCACCCTCCCCCTCTCATAAGGGTTGTGCCATGTGGGATGATGTAAATGTGACCTAAAATTAGATTAAAGCAAAATGGAATGAGGCCTTTTGAAAGTAAAGGGCAAATTCTGATCTTGTTTTCAGTCCAAAAACAACTCATTTATTCAATGTCTTCTGGAATAGATGTTCCACAAAAATGCATTTTCTAGCTAACCGACACTTCCCAAAATTCATTTTACATCTATTTCTCTGCCTTAAAGTGATTATACTGAACATAATGGAAATACTTGTTATGCTTCAGGTCTATCACGTCTCAACAATAACCAGAGCAGCCAATCAATATAGTGCCATCTATAAGGACCATTTTTTGGTTTTTTGGTCTCTTCCCTCACTCTTGTGAGTGGAAGCTGTCTCTTTTTCTTGTCATTACTCTGTTCTACCCTGGTTGACTTGATACCCCTCCCTCTCCTTGTTCTACCAACTTGCTGCTTTTCATTTACACTGGGACATTTTTGTCAGTGCTTTCTTCTTGATGGGCCAGAGAGGAAGTCACCTCCAAACAAGTGAGCTCTTACCACATTAATGTGACTCCCACATTATGCCTCAATTTAATATGTATTTTTTTCTCCTGGTAGAAATCATAAGAAACTTAACAATGGTTACCCTTGGGGAAATGGGCTGGCAGAAAGGTGGGAGGAGAAAATGGAGATTCCCCCCACCCCATTTTTCATGTGGTACCTTTAATTAATTGAAATCATCTAATATCATATATTTTAGTTTTACCTTAAGAATATCAACAGTGGTTACCTGGACAGGAACTTTCTTTTTTAACCTTTTTATATTTAAGACAATTTGATGTTATAGATATCTGTGTGTATGTATGTGCATATTTACATCCATAACACAAATGTATACATACAAATATATTTTTAAAGATGCCTATGGAAATTATTTTAAAAATCTGTATTTCTTTCCTAAAGGTACATTACATGTTAATACCTAAATCTAGTCATCCCTCAGTATCCATGGGAGATTGGTTTCAGGACTGCTGTGGATACCAAAATCCAAGGATGCCATAGTCTCTTATATAAAATGGCAGTACTATTTTCATATAATGTACGCATATCCTCCCTTATACTTTAAGTCATCTCTGAATTATTTATAATACCTAATACAATGTAAATGCTATGTAAATGGTGGTTATACCATATTGTCTAGGGAATTATAAGAAAAATGTCTGGACATGTTCAGTGGAGACTCATTTTTTTTCTGAATATTTTTGACCTGTAGTTGGCTGAATCCAGATATGTGAAACCCATGGATACAGAGGGCTGACTGTACTTCTGTTGTTACAAATTCGAGATTCTCTTTAAAAATAACATGTGTCGTGTATGTGTGTGTATAAATTTGTAAATATCTCTTGACAAAGGTTTCTGGGGTAAGTATGCAATTTCTAAAACTAATTTTGAAGAACCTCACTGAGTTAAGTCTTTGATAAACAAAGTTTGCTGTGACTTTTTTTTGGGTGTGTGATTGCAACCTACACTGCAAGATATAAAATGAAATTTTTGAATAATTCTTTAAAAATTACTTATTGATCTAAATTATAGAATCTCATTTTATATTCAGGCTTTTTCTTAAAAATAAAAAGCCCATGTAACTGCTGTGTTAAAAGTCAAAGATACAAACATAAAATTTCATTAAAAAGACTACCTATAATCAAGGAATCATCAAAAGTATTGATATTTACTTTATTTCTTGAAATTTACTTCACTGCTTTGAAAAAAGACACTTGGGAAAGTCTAACTAGTTTAATTCCTTGACACTGATTATATTAAGCATAGATAGAATATTTTTTTGCTGCTACTACTATTTTGGTTTACCTCTACTTCCCTTTGCTTCTTGGTGCTTTTCAGGGAATACATCGAGGAAGACGAAAAGTGACTTCCCCAAATTAGGTAGGTGTACTCTCATTGTCTATCATTGTCAAAATCATTACCACAGACTAAAAACTATTTATTTGTGATTCACATCTACTAAAGTTGCTGGAACTTTCCTTATCAGACTGATACAATCTCTGCTATGGTATGGGAGGCAGAGGCGATTCTGAATAGGGTATCTAGTAAAAGAGCTGGTTCCCAACTATGTAGTCTTAACTGGGTCATCTAAAGCAAAGGTAATGCCCAAATGACCAGGTAAAGCTGTAGGGAAAGCCAAGGGACCAATGAAAACAGAGTTTGACACAGCAGCAGGCACTCCATAAATACTTGTTGAATAAATGAATGAGATAATTCTACTTATATAACACAAGGTATATGAACAAAACAATATAACCTCCCTCTTTGAAGTTCTAGTTAAACAGTTACATTAGTGCTGTGGCTCTGGTTTGTAGGAAAAAAACTGGATTTATCAATAGCATAGAAGCAGAAGTCAAAATAAGTAAGCCAACCCTCAGCTTTTCTTCCCACAGGTATAAGTTGGGCTTCATATCCCATGTCTTGCAGAGAAGCCAAAGATCTACTCTGTAGCAATTAACATTGGGACAACAAAACACATGTTAAAAAGTTGCCTGTGGGGCTCAGAATTTAATTTTAGAAAGTAAATTTAAGTCTTGTAAATTCTCTCCATATCAGACGATCACATTTATATTCATCTAAGTGCAAAGCTAAAAAGAAATCATGTAGACATTATCTGCCTTTCCTCTTGTCCATGCTATCATACTCCTTTATTATGTAGATCATTCAACAGACAGCAAGAATGAACAGCTCTTCATGGAATCCCTGAGTTAGAAAAGCCCTTGAAGTTCATCTGGTTCAATTACCAGAATACCTCCAGAAACTACGCCTGTGAGACACAGAATTATATATAGAAGTGAAAGCTTACTTCTCTATTGCCACAACATGGTGGGTTTTTGTTTTTTAAGTTAACCCCATACATCAATCTCTTAATCACAACCCATTCTTTTCTGTTCTCCCCTCCAAAAATGGATAATATGAGGACATATCATTATTAAAACAGTATTTTAATACTACTAGCATGACTATATGGATATTTTAAATTAAGAAAAACATGATACGGATTTTAATTAATACTGCTATCATTTTAGTCTGAATTTGAATAGAAGATTCTTAAAGTTACTCCAGGCTTCCATTTAACACGGAAATCCTCTCTACGGCATATTTCATCTAAAAGACTGCATAATAAAAGATTAATGCAGCCACTTTAAATATTTATATGCTTTAAAATTGCATAGGAGGTAGATGATTACTTTTTATATTTAAAAACTACATTTTTTTCTATATTTTGAACAAATGGATATGATATTTAAACATTCTTTTTTAAAAACCATTGCCAGTTACCATATATGAAGATTTGCTAAACTGTACTTTGTGTTAATAGAATTCATAATTCAAAGGCAATACTTAAAAGCATTTCAAAATCAAGTTGTAATTATTTCAGGTAAAATATAAGTATTTCTGGCTAATTATAGCACATAAGGTGTTCTAATTTCAGAAGTAATTGGTCAAATATTGTCACAGATCACCAGTATAACAAAAAGAACACCTCAGTGTGAGCTGGCACACAAAGTATAGTATGTTATAATAACCACAAAATATAGGATGAATCTTATTTTGCAAAGAGGCTTGTGCACACCTAATAGAAAACCCACATCACAGCCATATTCGGCATCACCAAGGTATGACATGAGAGGGAACTTTTGTTCTAAACAATAGTGCCACTCAGTGGCTGAACAATGGTAGTGAATTAAAAACAGTATGAATGGAGGGTAGGCAAAAAGAAAAATGGAGTTTTGGAGTAGGCAATGATAATACTGTAGGCAAAGAAAAAGAAACACTATGTTGTTATGGTAACTGTACCTTGGAGGTCAGTTAGAGTCTGGACAGGAACAGAAACCTGAGCATCGCTTCCTGTAACTACATCGCCTGGATTTCATAAGAAAAAATAATTAGATTTCATAAAAAGGAAATAATCAACTTCACTTTTCTACTGAATGTTCTAATACTTTAATCAAATTACTAAAAATATAGTACAAACCAAAATAATGCACAAGCTTAGAAAAATTAATATAAAGTATTTTTAAAGAAAATAATTTTTGAAAGCATGTTTCCTAGGAATGTTTTGTGTTTGTTTTTCTTAAAAAAAAAACACAAACAAGTTTCAACTAGAGTATAGGAAACTTCAGCAGTCAAAAGATTTTGCTGAGCATATTTCATGATGCTACAAATATTAGTGTGATTTTATATTTTCTCTTTCATCCAAAATTGTTATATGTCATTTGTTTAAAAATAGGCATTCTTTTGAAATTGATTTCCTCCTATATCAGACAAAATTTATTTTTAACTAAACTTGAAACCAACTTCTTCAGTGATAAGATAAAGACCTAAATAAGTTCTAATTTCATATTAAGTAATGAAAAGATTTCTTAAGTTACCACATGTACTTATAAATGTCAACATGTAAAAATAAATCTGTGAACTGCATACCCTTAACTTGATATACTTATTATAGGCAAGATTTCATTTACAAATTGGACTTATAGTAAGTGCTTAAAATAATGACATGTTCAAATTCAAAAAGCAATTTAAAATATAGACAAAGGAAACAGGAAAAAAAAAAAAAAAACAAGTGCATTTTAAGAACATAAGAAAGGAAAAGGAGCATAACAGGAAATCTCATGAAGAACCTGAGGTGCACTAACATTTGGAAGGAAGACTTTTTGGTTCTTTGATTTCCTTCCTGGATGACAAAGTTCAACACTAAGCATAGTCACTTAACAGAATCATTCTCTGGATATATCACCATCTGAAGGCCTATGCTATTTTCAGACAAGCTAAAGAAAAAAGCATTTTAAAAAAGCATCATATTTTCTATGTATGATCATTTATGATTAATGGACTTGTTTCCCCTTGAGCTTTTATATAATATATACAGTAGTAAAAAAAAATCAACTTTTGAGTTAAATGACATATCCTCAGTGTTCTGACCACTATGACTTACAGTATGGCCAGCTAATCTGGAAACTGCTAAGTTGTAATTATACCATTATCATCAATTAACAGTACACACATTTAGTCTCCTATAATTGAAATAAAATCTATAAATAGGAACATACCACAAACAAGCGATAAATAGCTTTTAGTGGAAATGGGCCCCAGATTTTCATAGTATGTGAACTCTAAATTCACTGATAAATGGTGTGCCTACTTTCTGTATATTTGAAGGAGATTTTCAATTCTGTGCCTGCTACCTGTTTTACTCTGCTGCTTCTAGATCACTTATTAATGTATATTTAGAGACTGACCACTCATTTTAACATTAAATATCACCAAAAAAATTATAGGGAACATCTGGGCTGCTCCTTCACTAACCTACCCCAACACATAGACAAACTACACAACGTACTTCAAGCAACACATGTGAGTTTGGATTACAAACACAACTGTCCCCCTATATAAGCATATAAGCACAAGTAATTGAAAGTTAACTGATTATGAAAACCATAAAGTTTCATCTTTATAAACAACCATTTTTCAACATAACTTTCAAATTTTCCAGCAGAGTACACTAAAAAGACTATTACATTATCTTTCCTCAAAGGCATTAAGTAGATGACTCTGTTCTGAGATAGAAATCACTTCGCAACACAAGCCTCCTGAGAGGCTAAATATTGTGTTCACTGATCTATGGGACCAGGTGATATGCTTGCAGCTTTGTCAGTGTGACAGCACAGCAGGATACATGTGGGAAATACCAGCATAAAGAACCAATGTTGGAGAAGTATTCTTCATTGTAGAGTTAATCAATACATGCTCTACCAAAACAACCATAGATTTTTAGAGGTGGGAGGCTCTCCAGGGATTAGCCCAGATCTCTTATTTCAGGGTGAGGAAACAACAGGGTCAGGGAGCTTCAGGGTGTTGCTTAGGGCTCATCAATGGATGAATAGAGAAGAGCAGCAAACTACACTATCTTCTACTTCCATAAACTGTTCTCTTTGCCTTTTGTTTTATCCAAACCTTTGTGCAGGAAGAGGCATTAGCAGGAACATTTGTAGTTAATCTGAAGGTAAACAAGTTTTTGTTTTTGGTAGACTGACATGAGAAGAACAAACCACAAGTACAAATATAGAAGGGCTGCCAAACAAGGCTACTTCCTTTCAGCACAGGGATCAGTTAAAATGCCCTAGTGATAATCATGTTCCAAATACTTTGCTTAAGTGCTCTGTTGTCTCCTTATAACTGGGGACTGGTTTTCATCAATTGTTCCATCTCCATGCACTTCCTTTCTCACTTACTGTGATATTAATACTTGACATTTCCTTGGAGACACAACTTTATATTTCTAGTCATTTGGCTTAGTTCCTTAGAAAATTTAAGCTACAACATTAAGAGATTCTCTGACTCATTTGCCTGCCATCAGTTAGAATTACAACTGACTATGGCTTGTTATCAAAGCAATATTGAAATCGTATTTGTTTAGAACAATAAAACAGTACAATTAAGAAATATGTAAAATAACATTCATTTCCATTCTGGAAATGGGCATATCTCCTGGCATTAAAATACATTTACAACATGCTAATGATTTGGTGTCTTTTTTAAAAAAAATCATGTGTGACAGCTCTACGTTAAAAAGAAAAGAATGTAATTTTCAATGAGATATTCGTTTTTTTTGAGACGCAGTCTGGCTCTGTTGCCAGGCTGGAGTGCAGCAGTGCGATCTCAGCTCACTGCAACCTCCGCCTCTCAGGTTCAAACGATTCTCCTGCCTCAGCCTCCTGAGTAGCTGGGACTACAGGTGTGCGCCACCATGCCCAGCTAATTTTTGTATTTTTAGTAGACATGGAGTTTCACCATGTTGGGCAGGATGGTTTCTATCTCTTGACCTTGTGATCTACTTCGGCCTCCCAAAGTGCTGGGATTACTTGCGTGAACCACCACGCCCGAGATATTCTTATGCATCGTAAATTGAAAATTCTCATAAAAATTTAAATACTAATTATACAAAATCTAGTATTTTACACAGGCAAATAAAAACTGAATAGAAGGATAACATAATGTAACCAATAGAGGAATACAGACATGCATGTGTGTGTGCATGAGTCTGCACACTCATTGAATAATACTCAACATTTATATCATTGGGGAAGAAAGTCCATTTAACGTAAGTTTACCAATTTAAATGGCATTATGTAAAATTAGAAACTAACTTTGAATGTAATCTCCTTAAACAGAGTATATGGAACATAGTTTTAAAATCTTACTGACAATATTACTCATGTAATTGTCAACACTAATTATTGAGCACTGATATAACAGAGGGATCCCTTTAAGACATGAATGATACTTGAGTCAGGATGTTTGCTCTGACACTAAGTGGCCCTAGACTGCTTGTGAGGTCTTAGGATTACTTTTTAAATATTTTTTGCCATCGAGTTACAACTTCTTGCTTCTAGAGTACAGTTAGCAGAATCCTACTACTAAGAATAAATGTAGCTGTTTCCAATTTCTTATGAAAAGGGGGACCTAATACGTTATGACTCTTCAAAAATAGGTGAAAAATAAGAGTGCAAAGGATCAGAGTAAGAACCTGAAGTGCTCTCTTATGAATACAAAACATGAGGGAGGTGAAGCTCCGGAAAGGCCCTGAAACAGAAATGAGCTTACCTGAGTCCCAGCAGAAAATGTGCTACCAACAGCAGCAGTGCCCTCGCTCATCCAGTGGGAGATAAGGATTGGATGATCTCCCAGGTTTCCTCTGCTCTAACGTTCTGTGGTTCTAACTTTTAGTTTATGGACTCATACACTTATTTTGGCTGCTTGAAGTTTTGTTTAGTTTCTCTCTCCCTACTGCTTAAGATTCCAGTTTGTATTCCTCAGAAGTGAAGCAGCTGGGTGAGAGACTACAAGCCTAGTGGCCCACTTCCTCAAAACAACTGCAACACACCAATGAATGCTGTAACTAGTGAAGCCCCATGGTACTGGAACTTCTCATTTTGGATTCTCTTCTAGTGAGAAGCATTACTATGCAAAGTTAGCAGAGAACACAGTCAACTGGTCTCAATTTCTGTGTTGTGTTAATTCATGCCATCATACTACATGGGCACCTACAGGACAAAGTTGCAAGTATACTAGGATATAAATGTTAAAAAAAAAAATTACCTCATAAAACATTCTTAAGACTAACTCTAACATTCCAACTTTAAAAGAATCAAATATAACATATTAAAAAAGTAAGTTTTGCATTAATTTCTATTCTAGGAGGTTTGTTCTTCACAGGCAGGTGAAGAAATCCCAGGCTACATAGTGAATGTTTTCTTTGGATTTACTAGTAATTTTTCCTACCTTTGTTCAATTGTACAGGCATGCTTTCTGATTTCATCAGCCTCTGCTGCTGCTGTTGCTGTTGCTGTTGCAAGTGATGCCTTGGGGCCTCTGCTGAGGTCCTGGTAGGAATCACAACGGAGGAGGAGCTACTGCTGTTGCCTCCAGGTACAGGGCCACCTGCACTGCCTGGAGCCATTGCTGGGGAAATCAACTTTCTTCCAAAATTAATCAGGCTATTAGACACCTTATTTATATTCAGGGGAGCACCTTTGGCATTGGTCCTGTTAAAAAAAGAAATGGAGAGGCATTATTTACACTTAGAGGATGATTCTATTTCACATAATTAATTGGTATAAAAGCACACCTTGTCTGCTTTGAAAAAGGTCATTTACTAGACCAGCTACATAAAGTGAGAAGTGAAAATTTAAAGTTACTACAGAATAATAAAACAATGAGATTCTTAAAAACACAGCTTATGGAAAACAGTCTTATTTACTTTTCATTCATTCATTCAACAAATAGAGCCAACACTGCTGGGTTATGAGAATATAATTGCCCAAAATAGACACTGTTCCCTTCCTGGAGCTTCTAGTCTAGTACAGAAGAATATATTAATCAAATAATCACATAAATAAATATATGCTTAAAACCTGTGATTGGACTATAAAGGAGAGGCTAGGCAAGTCCTGAGGTCCTCACAGAAGGGGGCATCTATGAAACGAAGCTAAGAGTAGGTTTCTCACCAGCCCTGGCACATGGGTACTAGGCCAAATTTAATATGATTTTGAAAATAAATGTGTCTGACAGTCATGAAGTAAATTCCTAAAAGTTATGTCAAGTGCCCAGTTCTCTGCAATTGCAATCTATCCTTATTCTCTGCCCCAGCGCTCCATATCCTCCTTCTCCACTTACCTGGTTTATTTTCCTCGATAGTAGTTTTCATTATCTGACATACTATATATTTCATGTATTTATTTGGTTATCATTTGTTCACCTCTTCCAATCCCCATTCAAATACAAGTTTCATGTGGGCAAGAATTTTGTCTCTTTTGTTAACTATTATATTGCCATTGTCTGGTACATCATAGGTACTTTATCAATAATATTTGTTAAATGGTAGCAGCATCTACCCATAGTCCATCTTTTCACCTGCCACAGTGGAAGATCAGACTCTCCATTTGTGCTTTGAATCCCATCTCCTCTGACCTTCAGAGAGTGTTACTCCTGCATCCTCCTCTCCTGCATCATCATTTTCTCCTTCTTTACTGTATCATTTCCATTAGCATACAACCGTGGTGAGTATATGTATACGTATGCTAAATTCTCTACTGAACCCTTGTTCCCTTCAAGTTACCACCTCATTTCTTTCTTTACTTATAACATATTTTTTCAAGGTATATTAAAGAAGCTTCTGCTTCCTCAGTCTTTGGTCCACTAAGCTCCAGCTGTGCCACTGCCCTAAAGCCATTCCTCAAGTCACCAATGACTTCACATCGCAGATCCAAAGGTCTATTCTTATTTGACTCTAGCTCTCAGCAGCTATCAACTCCCTTAACCACTGCTCTCTCTCTCAAATTTTGTCTCGTGGCCAGTACCTGTATTATAACTGTGCCTGGCAAATAGAGGGCACCAAGTTAACATTTGTTAGATGAACAATTCCCAAATGACTCAGAATCCTGCAGTATCTCAGGGCTATTATCTTGAAGACCAGTTATGATTATAGATGATTTTAGTTGTAAAGGGGAGTCCAGCTCCATGACAATATTGAAGTTTGTGTTTTTAATGTGCCCAAATCATTAATATAAATGAAATAGCTCACATTTTGCTTTTTTCATAAAAATGGAAAATTGAAAATCAACTTTAAGAGATCTACTTATTTGATTTTAATTAACTTAATTTTTATTATAATTTCTTTCTCCCAGATCTAGCTGTCAGCACTTACATGGCAATTCTACTTTTAATATGACAGCTATATCCTTGCACTACTAGATGTTGCTGTAAAACAGAACAGATCCATAGTTCTATAATAAAAAGGAAAGAACACTAGACTTCTTCCTTCCATAAAGTTTTCTCTAATGTTACTAGCTAATGTTATGGGCTAGGTATTAGAGACTTACATTGCTTTTGGAGGTAGGACAAATCAAATTTAAAATATGAAATTCAGCTTTATAAAAGAAAGATCTATTCATTATAACTCAATGAAGTGTGAAAAAAATTTCAAATGGTTCCTTTGGCATCAAGTTTCATCTTTAAGGAATTGAGCTATTTAAATGTCCTTCCAAAAATTATTTAAAATAATGTTTCCTAATGGAGATAAGGATATAAAGTGATTATGCATCACTTACTTTCATTTTTTAGATGCTTCCTACTGAAGTAGAGCATTCTTAATTTACATTTACTATAGGTTGGCAACAGAGAAGGCACTCAATGTATGTTTATTGAGAAAAAAGAATGAATGAAATGAAAAAAACTCATAAATTCTGGATTAACTAGGCATTCACCTCTGGCATTATATTCCACTCAGCAGCCTGCATACATTCCCATTTCCTGTGAGTGACAGTATAAAGAAAAGCTATCATGGTACTGAAGTTCTGCTGCATTTTAGTTTTGCTTGTTTGCAAGTCAGGATTCATAATTCCCAGATATGAAGAAGTTATAATGTTGTTACCCTTTTTTATACACAAAAATGTACTAGTCAGAATTCCCATATTGCCAGTTGTAAAATTTATATGTTGATAAAAGTACTAAGAAAGTGCTAGAGCATTATCAAGAGAATATGGTTAATGCATCTTCATTACTACTAATAACCATGAAAAACATATAGATCAAGTTTATGCAGAGCAATTTTTCATGTGAATAGCTCTTAAAAGGGGATGAGCACTGTTTTCTTTTTTTGAACATTTTGTTTTGTTTTGTTTTTAACCATGTTCTCCCTCATTCAGTACCCACAGCTTCTAGAAGAATGTTTTTTTTTTTTCAAAACAACAACTGAAGGTGATTATGTGTCTTCCGGATATAAGCAATTGTAAGTCATACAGAGAAAGCAATCTGTCCAGAGCTTGTCTGTTTTTCTAGGCATAACAGTTTTTATACCAAAGTTATCTAATTTAGAACTGAAATATGAGCAGCAGAATTCTTCATGTGAAATATTAAACAACTTCCAACAATTATTAATGGCTGTGATGTGTATGACCAAGTCATATGTGCTAAATTAATGAAAATTAATGTAGTTGTCAAAGATCTGATGGACAGTGGGGATTAGATTAGATTAAAGATGGAGTGCCATGTGTTAATAGTGTTGAATAATAAACAGCAAGAGGAATTTGGAGTTAACAAGACATTGAATATCAAATCTAATGAGTAACCAATTTTGTGTAATTGAAGTCTTTCATTACTATTGTCTATCTACTGTTATTAAAAATAGTACTGTTTAGGAGAGATTATTTTAAAATTCTGCCAGGAACTTACTTTTGGCACAATCTCATTTAACAAGTTCAGTCAGTACCAATAGGTGAACTTTCTGAAGATCCAAGAATCTCCTCGAAATACCTGTACCAGCACCCTATTCTGACCTGAATTCATTGTTGAGCTTATCTTCAGTTTTTAAACACTGGTTTCTCTTCTAGTGAGAAGCATTACTATACAAAGTTAGCAGAGAACACAGTCAACTGATCTCAATTTCTGTGTTGTGTTAATTCATGCCATCATACTGCATGAGCATCTATAGGACAAAGTTGCAAGTATACTAGGATATAAATGTTAAAAAAAACAAAACTACAAATTACCTCATAAAATGTTCTTAAGACCAACACAGTATCTGATATTTCAACTTTAAAATAATCAAATATAACATATTTAAAAAGTAAGTTTTGCATTAATTTCTATTTTTGGTTCCTCACAAGCAGGTGAAGAAATCCCAGGCTACACTGTGAATGAAAACAGGTGATTTTAGCTATCTCTTCCCAGATGTTTATTGCCTACTTGATGTCTTGCAGCCTGGCTTTCTGACCCGCACTCTACTGAAAGAGTTTCTAGGGCCTCCAATGCCTTCATAGTTGCTAGTCATGGCCTGTTTTTATTACATTTCTATAAACTTTCTGAAGCTTTTAAAAAACCATTATCACATTATCACCTCTATAAAAATTCTCCACAACCTTTTCCCTCCTGGATCTACGTATTTACAACATTCTAGTTTATCTCCTTTCTTCCTCTATATTTATTTTTTAGATTTGATAATATCTAATATTTGTTTATTTCACTTTTTCTGCAATAAAATCTTATTAGATGCTTAGCTATACTTTTGAAAAAGAATCACTTCAATTTATTTCAAATTATTTTTCTCTATATTCTAACTTATATACATTTTTGTTATTTCTTTTCCTTGTGTTTTCCAAGGTTGAATACTTCCGTTCATTCATTCAATTATTCATCCTTTATTCTCCCTGTCTTCCAATAAAAGCATTTAAAGCTACATATATGCTTGGTTTTAACAATAGCATGAAAGTTTTCTCTCATTTTCTAAATAGCCTTGTTGGCTCATTTGTTATTTAGGTACAATTAAAAATTTCAGATGGCTGAGTTTGTTTGCGTTTAAATATATTACTTATTTTGATTTATTGAATAAAACAGAAATATTGGAGGAATGGAAGTGGGAAAATGTTTTGATTTTTCAAAAGGACTATGGAAAGGACAAACTAGAAAATAAACTGATGTATATAAATAATTTTACTAATTACTTAGAAATGAATATCTTTTATTACAAGTAGACAGTATGGTTCACTAAAAAGTCATTCCAAGGCAACTTTACTTCTTCATCTGACAGTGTGAAAGGTCTGTTAGATTTTGTTAAGATATGTCAGTACCTGTGGAAATAATGGAGAATAATGCATGTTCAGATATAGTGGGACAATTGTACCCCAAGCATATTGTTCAATATTCTAGCACCCACCAAGTATTACTGGTGATTATATGTGTCTCAGTCTTGGTTCACAGACTTGCTACCAATCCATCTTTTAGGACAGTCATAATTTTCTGTTAATGAGTTGTGTAACCATGAGAGAGTTATTTTATCCCATCTGGACCCAAGTTTCCTCATCCTAAAATAAGGGAGCTGAATTTTATGATATTTTAGGTACTTTTTAGATTGAAAATTCTACAACTTTGTGAACAGAAGAATGAAAATATGTGCTTATGGAATTTCAGACCAAAGGCTAAAGAGACACCCAATATATCAAACAAAAGAATCAAATTTTTAAATGTTTTCAACATAAAGTAAATGATA